TCCCTCTTTTATCTCTTATATGTATTAAAACTCTTATAACTCTTTTAATACTTATAAGACTTTTAACTCTTTTATCCTCAGAAAGCCCATTAAAAGCTAGAGATCTGTATACCCGTATGCAGATACTGCAGCTCATTAGCTTCTGACCCTTATATACCTCTGGAGTAACTTTTACGTCTCACAATAGTAAGAGATTAACCAATCAGAAGAAAGTTATCCTATATAGTTCAAGTTTGGCTCTGAGCTGAATTTTAAATCTTATAGATCTTTGAACTCAAACCTGAACTGAATTTAGAATTTATAAACTCGAACTGAACTTGAAATATTAGTTCAGTCTGAGTTCGGTTCAAAGTTTATAAATATGATCTTGGATTCAATTAATAATTAAACCTATTTAAAAAAAACTAGGGTAGCTGTGCAATGTATGATATTGCATAGGACTAGTACGATCATAGTTGAATTCATAACCAAAGGTAAATTTTATTTTATCAAAAATCTGATTTTAAATCCTAAAACTAACCTGAACCTAAGCCAAGTGTTTAATCATAGAATTGAGTTCCTTTTCTTTAAACTACCTGAATTAAACTTGTTAGTGAATTAATTGTCAATGAATCAAGTGTCAGTGAAATAAAGTTTGCAACCATGTTTGAGTTCGATAGAGTAATTACTAGCTTTTATCAAAATGGACCTATCCAGTTCGAAGTTTGCAAACATGTCCAGGTTCAGTGCTGCTTACCCATTTAGTAGATATCTTCTATACGAATCTGTATTATTTACTAACAATCACTTCATAGACACCACATTTCAACTAACAGTCTATTTCACCTAAGCTTATTTTACCAACAAGTTTTTTTATAAATTACACTAAATTTAATTCTAATTCTAACCTAACCCTAATGATATTGATCAGAATTACTTTGTCTGTAAAATAAGCCTCAGTGAAATAAACTGTAAACTTGTCATTAAGTAATTGTTAGTGAAATATAGTATTCATGAAGTGATTGTTGGCGATCTCTATTCCCATTTACAACTACTATTTTCTCAACACTCAACTATAATCACTTCCCCGATGTAATCTATTGCCCAACATAATCTATTTTACAGACATAATTACTTCCCAGACGATCCCATTCCAACAACTCCTACTCTTCTCAAAAAGAAAACGAGGAAAAACCAAATATCACTTCTAACAAAACAACAAACAAACACGTAACTTCA